AACTTAATTTAATTTCAACGTAGAAAATTTCTAAGAAAATAATCTTATTTTTTCCTCACGTTTTCTAGATGTCATTTTGTTTAAATCAGGGAAATCCTAATAAGCATTAATTTTATTTTGATTTAAAATAACCGAAAGTTATCACGAATCCTGTTTGATGTAAGACTTTTTACACATGATTTCGTGATCGATTCACGTTGCTAAAATATTAATAATAGCTTCTAATCAAATTTTAAATTATTAAATATTTTACATGTTTAGTGAAAAATCTTATTCCCTTCATATTCCCTTGGCCAGACTGTAATAAGAAGTAAAAACGTTAGAATGGAACGTAATAATACGTATTTCGTATAAATAAAATTATTAAAATTACAAAATATCATGGAAAATCTCAATTTTACGCAAAAAGTAATCTGTCTAATAATTTATTTGTGAATTATAAATGATTTTGATACAGACATTTACTCTTAGTCACTAATGGATTTCTATGTAGGCTACGTAATCGGATTTCCTCCATGTAGTTTCATTTAAGAATTACGTAAAGAGGTCTTCATGAATTAAAATCCTGGAAAACCTCTTTACGTAACACAACTTTTTTAAATGAGTTGAAGGCAAGATAATAGGTTTTATAATAAATTCGCTATAATTAGAAAAAAAATAAATTTAAATTAAAGTCGATTTTCATTTTATAAGTAGAAAAAAGTAATAAGAACTTTTAAGTCTATAATTATTCTTTTTTGGGGCTGCATTTGCAAATTGCAAAGATTTTGTTCACTCTCTTGGAAGCTTAATAACTCATGTGCTTTTTTGTCGAAAATTTCTGAAATTTTACAGGGATATTTGTGTATTAGGGGGATTGATACTATTAAATTTTGGTGGTTAAAGGTCGACGGGTTGGGGAAATAAAGGGGGTGGTGTGTATCTCCAGTAGGATCGGGCTTAATGATGATTGTGCTAGTCGTCAGCATTTACAATATTTTATAAAACCCATCCCTGCAGTAAAAGTTAGTATTTTGCAATTTTATAATAATTAAAAATATAAACGTTTTTAATAATAAAAAAAAATAACAAGGCGTCGCACATGCAGTTTTAAATGTTGACAGAAAAGTCAAGCAACTCATTGCTAGATATTTTGATATAGTAGCATAGAAATTACCAAATGTAAATTCTACATTTTTATTTTGCTTAAAATGAAGAAAATTTGATGTTTTAAACTTTGGTAGCAACCCCTAAATTTCATCTGAATTTGGCCGAATGTTGGGAATTACCTTTTTTAATTACCATTTTAAATATTTAACAAGTTAGACAGGTGCTCCTATGATAACTACAAGTTTTGTTTTTAGCCTCCAATACACATCACTTTAATATGTCTTATATATGTGAGATTAGAGGAATCACGTTGTCATTGGATCTACTCCACCATATTATAGACTTTGAAAATTGTGAAATATTTAAGATTCCACAAAAGAAATAAGGCATTTTCTAATTCGTCCAAAATAAATCTCCTCCAGTTAAATAAAATTCATATATTCAAGTATTTATTTGTCAATTAATGTTGTAAACATACAATAATTTACTGTCTTAAATGTTTGTCCCTAATTTGTTTAACTTGCAAAAGAGTAAAAGTAATTGAAGCGACGGTACTTAATACCTGCAAAAACAGAAATTAATAATTACTTCTATAAATTTGTAAACGATTTTACTTGAAATTTTCTCCATGGAACTTACCTTCAAAGAAGTCTTTCTAGTAATGATAACATCTCCTATCCACTTTAATCCTACTTCTTTTTTAAATCTTATCATTAAAAATTTTACCTGAAATGTATAAAAGCACGAAAAAATTTAATGAATGATTAAACTCACAAATTTCCCATCCTGTATTTTTACATTTATATAAATAGTACGTTATATTCTTTTATGTCTTTATTATTTACACAATTTAAAAATTATTTACAATTTATTATTTATACAAGTCAGCATCTTTCAAGTGCTCATTGCCTCCGTCATATGCCTCTTTCAGGTGGCCAAGCGGTAGTAAAAGATTTTAAAATCGACGGAAAAAAAAACAAAAATAATTATATTATCATAATTATTTAGATCATATTTTAATCAACCCTCCAATGGCCAAATAAATACAGCCACTGAATACTAGTCATGAGTTCACGCTTGACCATATGCAGTTTTCTAAGTTTGCTTCACGTGTTTTATACCTAGTAGAGTTTCTCATATAAACTCCTGGGTGACATCTCCCGTGTGTGGTAGTTGTTCGCCCATAGTATATTGTTCCGCATTTCTATTATATCAAAAATTATCGAGCGTTTTCCTATATAACATTTATGATACAAAAATATATAAACCTTGTATACAATGCCTATAGTCGCTTTACGTTTTCTTTAAAACTTTTTAATTGGAATGTCGATGATTCACTGTTTATTACGGATTAATTATAATATGTTACGAGAAATTATTTATTGTGACATCGTCACAATGCCGGGATGCAATTTTTAATTTACAGTATTTAATTTAAAATGTATGTTCGCCACCTCAAATTAGTACTTAGTGTCTTGCCTCTGTACGTCACAGTTTTCATAGTCTGTAATGAACATTAAACCCAAAATGTTTATTACATGCAGTATTTAACTTGAACAAAATATGAACCATCTATATGGAGCATTAAAAATATAATAATAAATATATTTTTAATAACACTTTTATAATAAATATTAAAAAGCTTTTTAAACATTCAAAATAATTTAACAATTCTAAATCAATTTGTTCAATTTGAATGTGATAAGTTCTGGTGTCGTTTAGGTCGTTTAGGTAAATTTTTTCATGTTTATAGCCGTTGCGGTACATGATAGCGAGGGATCGGAAGTTACAACCATTTATTTATCAAGAATAAAGAAATGGCTAACTTAAAATTGCTTAAGGTACAATCGACTATAAGCTTATAAATAGATCTTTAGTAGACAATATATAGGGAGGTGGAATTAGCAAAAAATTGTTTTATTTTTTGATACAAGTTTAAGTAAGGCAACATGAAGATAATAAGGATTTAGAATAGGAACTGACGTACAACAAAATAAAGTTGAAGCAATGTGTAACCGTGTCTTTGATAGTTTCTGGAAAATCGTGATGATACATGAATGTGTTTCCTTAATGTTCCTATTGGTAAATTTACAGAAAGAGAAAGCTGTTTGATAAATTAGTAGTTGCGAATTACAATTGGTAGATAACCCGCATCGTATAACCCTTCGAATTGAATTTTAAACGCAAAACTCGCGAGCTGTTTGCAGGAAATTACAGAAAAATAATTAATTCTTACTATTTCGGTGTCTTCTTCAGAAAGACGAAATTTTGAAAGTTTTATCGCTACTTTATATAATTGATTCCCCTGTAAATAAAAGGAAATTATTCAGAAATTTATCTTTCATCACTAGAAAATATATCATTTTTAAG